AAAAACATTTTTTTTTTTTTTTTACATTTTTTTTTCACACACTACTCTTAGGGATTCCACCTGGCTTTTATTTTATTGGCAGTATTTGAGGCTGCATGGCTGGTGCCAATATTGGCAAGACAAATGCTGGTATTTTTCTCAGGATAAACAAGAGATTACTATGCAATACCAGCACTGGCCAGTAGGGGTCACTGTGTGTGGAGACAGGCAGGGATAGGAAGTTCCAGCAAATCCCTCCCTGTCTATCTATACTCACTGATCTGCATGTGTGCAGCTACAGAGAGTCCAGACAGCAACTCCCACCCTGCAGAGACAGCCTACAGCTCGGGAAGTAAGGGATGGGGGGAAGGCTGCAAGGAGACATACACTAGGAGACATTATGGCAGACACTGAGACACTAAGGGACATTGGGAGACATTATGACACAGACACAGTGTCCCCATGTCTCCCAGTGTCCCCATGTCCCCTGCCAGTGTCCCTGGTGTCTCAGTGCCCCCTATTCTCCTAGTGACCCCTAGTCTCCCAGTGTCTCAAGTGTCTCAATGTCCCCATGTCTCCAAGCTGGTGTCCCTAGTGTCTGTGGCCCTGGTGTCTCAGTGTCCCCATGTCTCCCAGTGCCCCCATGTCTCAATGTCCCCCAGCCAGTGTCTCTAGTGTCTGTGTCCCCATGTCTTCAAGTGTCCCCTATTTTCCCAGTGGCCCCATGTGTCCGAGCCAGTGTCCACTAGTTTCCCACTGTCACTGCTGTCTCTGTGTCCTTAGGTCTCCCTGTGTCCCCAGGTCTCCCCGTCTTCCTAGTGTCCTAGTGACACATACATGGGGACATAGACACATGGGAATACTGGAGGACACAGGGAGACATGGGGCATTGAGACACTGTGATACATAGGGACACTGTGATACATAGGGTCACTGGGAGACCTGGGGACACGACACTAGGGGACACTGGGAGACATGGGGCACCGAGACACTGATACATAGGAACGCTGAGACCTGGAGTAATCAACACATGGGGGCACTGGGAAACATGGGGGCACTGGGAGGAATCCATCTATACAGCATAATCAAACTAAATAATTTTTAGGTGAATTTACAGCATTTTCTCTTATGTCACTCCTTGTGATCTACATAATGTGATATCACCCATACATATTTAATTATGCAAATTAGTAAGGCCGGTATGTTTTTTCCAAGAAAGGTGGCAACCCTAACTACTTTTCACATACTCTTACTTAAGTATGGAAACTTACCAATGCTGGCGCTGCCACACAGCGAGAGGCACCATGCTGCACATGTGGTGGACGTGCAAGCAGGTGAATCAACTGTGGAAAGAAACAGCCAAACTAATCAAACGAGTCACGAAACACCAACTACCCCTCGACCCCAAAACGATCCTACTACGCTCGTTACAGGGAAACATCCCGAAGCCGATTCGAAAAACTATATACCTCATCCTAAGTACAGTATCCATACTAATAGCCAGAAACTGGAAAACAACTACGTTGCCCTCGCTCCAAGACATAGAAAAAGTAATGACCTCAACAGTAGAACATGAACTAATAATGTGGAACCAGGCGAAAATTGGGAAACTCAGCCCCCACACTGCCACAATGTGGGAGGACTACCTACGACGAACAAACACAAGACTGACCTGAGCCCCAACACCCACGAAAGTGACAAAATCTCCCGAACCAGGCTTACTCTCAGCCGGAGAACACAACCACCCAGCACCCAAACACTCAACAAGGCAACACACAAAGCTTCAAACATATTGTTGTTACAGTCACTACACTACACAGGATGTCCCCCGCTAGGTACTCCAACCAACACCCCCTGCCCTACTCCACCCATCCAATCTCCCCCCCCTTCCTGGCCCCCCCACTACCTACCCCAAGCAATCACACTTAAGAAAACAACCCTCAACCTCGAACGCTTGCGAAAGCCTCTGCAACCTATAGGCAAAGCCGGGGAAACGCAGACAACTCCAACATACCCACTAACGCGCACGCAATCAACACTCGCATTGCGGAGCACGCCTACCATAATGTATACCCCACGAAAGACCACAGGGTTGATATTGGCATAGATACACGACGACATTGTCATAGATACATGACGACACTGTATAAGTTGAGCAATCAGCAACACCCCCTCGACCTGCTGACATACCCCCCACTTACACATGAAGCTACCAAGATGTACAAAATGTGATTGTGTCATCCCCATGATATGTTAACGCTCCTTCTTCTTTTCTGTACCCCATACCTTTTCTTGAAGATAATAAAAATTTCAAATTGGAAAAAAAGTATGGAAACTTAAGAGGGATGTATGGGAACAAAACTTGTGTGGACTGGCTGGTATGAATATAGTTAAAGGGACACTATAGTCACAAGAACAACTACAGCTTATTGACTTTGTTCTGGTTTGTAGAATCATTACCTTCAGGCTTTTTGCTGTAAACACTGTCTTTTCAGAGAAAATGCAGTCTTTACATTACAGCCTAGTGATAACTTCACTGGCCACTCCTTACATGGCTGTTAGAAATCCTTCCTGGGTCATGGCTGCCTAAAATGCATCCAAACATTCAGTGTCTCCTCCCTCTGCATGCAGACACTGAACTTTCCTCATAGAGATTCATTAATTCAATTCATCTCTATAAGGAGATGCTGATTGGCCAGTGCTGTGTTTGAATCATGCTGACTCTGTCCCTGATTTGCCGTTTTGTCAGTCTCAGCCAATCCTATGGGGAAGCACTGTGATTGGATCAGGCCACCACTTCTAATGCAGTCTAAAGACTGCTTGTTTTTCTGAGTCTAACAGTATGCAGAGTTACAGCTTCAGGCTTGAATACAGTAAGATTTTTACTATATTATGGAGGCATGAGGGGCCCAGGGGGGTTAGATGGTGGTGTTAACACTATAGGGACAGGAATTCATGTTTGTGTTCCTGACCTTATAGTGATCCTTTAAGGTAATGCTGACTTTGGTCTCTCTAACACTGTGGCATGTTCCCTTTCTTCTACACTCACTATATACAGCTTTTCTCTGTCCCAGACTATATACCAGGAGCGTCTGCCTGCTAGTAAGAAGGTAAGGAGACAAGTGGACCAGAGAGTGCTAGGGGACAGTCCTTAGAAAGCGTTGAGCAAGCGCATCATTAGATGCATTTATGCCAAGCTCAGGGTGCTGTCTGCATAGTATGCCCTTAGTTGGCCAGCTGCATGATTGGCAGGCAGTCTGACATGCATTCATGCCAGGCTGGCCTTCTAATTCTTTGGGTAGACGTCCTCTATTTGGGCATGTTCGACCCTTTTGGCAGGTTACGTGATTTGTGTCAGTGGCACACCCTTTTACCGTGCCCATTGACTTCCTGCTTGACTGGACACTGCTGTTAGGGGTTATGGATTTACTTGAAAGATGAAAACATAAATTAGAGGGAGATTAGCATAGGGTATGTGTTTTCTTATAGTTGCTGTTTTCTTTCTCTCCAGCACCATCTCCATCAGATACATGACGCCTGGGAGTGTTTTAGTGTTTTTGGTCGATATGATTCTTTAATTAGGCCTGTCATAATTGTCAGCACCAGGCCCACTCGGCTGTTAATCTGGCCCTGGATGGCAACAATGTATTTTGGATGTCTGCCCTATCAACTTTGGATGGTACTTTCTGCACCTACCATGGTGACCACGGGTAACAAAGAATTAGGGTTGGATCCTGGAGAGGGAGCCTGAGAAACGGCTACCACAGCCAAGGAAGACAGCAGGCGCACAAATTACCCACTCCCGGCGCATGGAGGCAGTGACGAAAAAATAACAATACAGGACTCTTTCGAGGCCCTGTAATTGGAATGAGTACACTTTAACCCCTTAGTGACGAGACCATTTTTCAATTTAAGGACCAGGGCTGTTTTTAAATTTCTGCGGTGTTTGTGTTTAGCTGTAATTTTCCTCTTACTTATTTACTGTATCCACACATATTATATACAGTTTGTTTTCACCATTAAATGGTCTTTCTAAAGATACCATTATTTTGATCATATCATATAATTTACTTTAAAAAAAAATGATAAAATATGCTGAATTTTTTTTAAAAAACACACCTTTGACCTCCACAATCTGTTACGCATCTACAACTGCCAAAAAAGGGTTAGGGGTAGGGTAGGGTTAGGGTGAGGAGCAGCATAGGGATAGGGTTAACATAGGGTTAGGGAACCCTACAGATTTTACTGAATTGCTGAAGTCCCGAATTGCTAAAGTGACTAATTTTTTATCTTACCCGAATTCCCGAACCAAACAGGATCATGCACATCCTACAGGGTTAAATACAGTGCTAGCAAATGCAATTCTCTTTTCTTTCGGCCTGGGTTGTCAGGCAGGTCACCCAAATAGCAAAATAAATAAAATTACCTAATTATGTAAAAATATTACATAAATATGCACATAGAATTTAAATATGTATATACATATTTATATATTTGAAGTCTACGTGTATATTTATGAAATTATTTATGTCATTTTGTATATGGAAATATATATATTTTGTATTATTTTTATTTATTTATATATACATATATATATATATATATATATAATTAATTTCATGCTAAGTGTATGTTGATATAAATATATATATATATATATATAAATATCAAAATACAGTTAGAATAAAATTACATATACATATATAATTGTAAAAATGTTTTTCATTATTTTTACATTTTTAAATTAATTTCTATGTACTTATCATTTATATTTTATAATAATATATATATATATATACACAATATATATAGCTATTATATATATATACACGTGTGTAATTTAATTATAAGTGTATTTTTATATTAATGTATAATTAATGTATATATTAATATAAAAATACACTTAGTATGACAATATATATATATATGAGATATATACATACTATATATAGATATATATGTATATATATCTTGTATTTATATATATATATATATATTTATTTATTTATTGCTAACATATTTTCTTTTATTTTTCAGAAGCAGGGAGACTACCTGTCAGTTTAGGCAGTCCCCCTGCAGGCAGATGCACATACACCTATTGCCTAATTTGCAGAGGGGGGACTATCTGGGCTGCCAGGCAGTCCTCTCCAGACTGGGAGCAACACCGATCGACGGTGGGGGAACGACAGGGTTCGGGTAAGTAATAAGGACACACAGCTCACACACGCAGACAGCTGCAGGACTTGAAAACCCTGTCCGCATCTAAGAAAAACAGGGGCGGAGCAAAACCAGCAGATGGGGCGGGGCTAAACACAGCCTCCACCTGCTGCTACTGCTGCACAATGAGGGGAAGCAGGATGGAGTCCCTGCTTCCCCAACTTACAGACGCCAGGGACTTCAGTTAATCCACTCCTCCTCCAGCCCGTGTGGTCTGTAAGTAAGAGAGAGAGAGTGTGTGTGTGTGTATGTGTGTGTTGACTGTCTGCGTTACTGTCTCCCTGTGACCTTGTGTGTGAATGTCTGCCTGTGACTGTGTATGTGACTGTCTCCCTGTGACTCTGTGTGTGACTGTCTGCCTGTGCATTTATGTGTGTGACTGTCTGCCTGTGTTTGTGTGACTGCCTGCCTGTAACTGTGTGTGTGTGTGTGTGTGATTATGTATGACTGTTTGCCTGTGACTCTGTGTGTGTGTGTGACTGTTTTTCCTGTGACTGTGTGACTGCCTGTCTGTGAGTTTGTGTGTATGACTGGCTGCCTCTGTGTGTATGTGTGTGTGTGTGTGACTGCCTGTGACTCTGTGTGTGTGTGACTGTCTGCCTGTGACTCTGTGTGTGTGTGACTGTCTGCCTGTGAGTGTGTGTGTGTGACTGTCTGCCTGTGACTGTGTGTGTGTGTGTGTGACTGCCTGCCTGTAACTGTGTGTGTATGACTGTCTTCCTGTGACTGTGTGTATGTGTGACTGCCTCTAACTGTGTGTGTGTGTGTGTGTGTGACTGTCTTCCTGTGACTGTGTGTGTGTGTGTGTGTGACTGCCTGTGTGTGATTATCTGACTGTGACTGTGTGTGTGAGTGTCTGCCTGTGACTGTCTGTAAACCTGTGGGTGTGTGTGACTGTCTGCATGTGACTATGTGTGTGTGACTTTCTGCCTGTGATCGGGGGATGTGTCTTGTAACTGTGTGTGTGAGACTATCTACCTGTGACATGTGACTGTTCTGCCTGTAATTGTATGTGTGACTGTCTGTAACTGTTTGTGTTACTGTCTGCCTGTAACTGTGTGTGACTGTGTGCCTGGGACTGGACTCTGAAGGCTGTTGCTAATATTGTTGTGTAAAATAATGAATTCTATTGTAAGGGGCTGAGCAGAGGCTTTAGAGGGAGAGGCAGGTTTTTTTGGGAAGAAGGGTGCAGGAGTTTTATGGAAGGGGGGTGCAGGGTTTGTAGAATGGGGACGGGGACTTGTCAAACACAGGATCCACCC